GAGAGAGAGAGAGAGAGAGAGAGAGAGAGAGAGAGAGAGAGAGAGAAAGACAATGGTATAATGGACTCCTGATAAACCAATTTCAGCAACTCACTATTCATGGCCACTTTTTACTTCATCCATGCTTCCATTGACTTCTCTCTCTCCAGTAATTTTCTGAAACAAATTGCTTCATCTGTAAATATTTTGGTAGAGATTCCATTATCATATCTAAAAAATAATCATAAAAATTCCTTAATTTAATGAAATACCTCATCAGAGTTCAAATTTCCAAATGTCTTATAAATGTCAGATCTTCTTATCTCTATAGTTTGTCTGAATTAAGATCCAAATAAGGTCTGCACCTTGATACTGGGTGATGTGGCCCATTGCTTTTTAAAGTGAGTAATATCACTTTACACATCAAAAACAAAAACCATACATATCCTTTGACCTAATGATACTAGTCTTAACAATCTAAAGACATATCTATGAGATTATGTATTATATCATTGTTTGTAACATCAAAAAAACTTGAAAACCACAGTGGGGGAATGGCAAATTAATGTGGACATCAATGATCAACAGAACTGCATCACTATTAAAAAGTCAAGGGGCTGGGGCTGGGGCTCAGCAGTAGAGCGCTCACCTAGCACGTTGGAGGCACTGGGTTCAATCCTCAGCACCACATAAAAATAAATAAATAAAATAAAGATATTGTGTCCAACTACAACTAAAAAAATATTTTTAAAAAAGTCAAGCTAGATCTCTAATGATTGTTCTGGTGGCTCCATAATAGATTAAAGGAGAAAAAAGGCCTAGGAGAAATATGAATAATTTATCATTTCACTTCTGTAACAGAGAATGACAAATTCACAACCTTTTATACAGTTTTTGTATATTTATTTATTTATATGTATATGATCATGGGTCTACATATCTCTGTTAATGTTTATATGATTATGGAGAAGGTATGTGGATTTACATAACAGGGCAAATGACATGCCTTACATAGGTTGATCAAAGCAGAGTATATAAGGCAAAACATAAAGAGAGATAAAAATAAAAACAATAGCAAAATATAGTATATGTTAAGTGAAATGTATAAATCAAATCTCTAACCATAATGTTGTATTATGCAATAATATGGTAATATGCAATATTACCAAATTATTGCATAATTTCTGGTAATTTATATCCAGATATAAAACACATATCCTTTAATCCAGAACTCTGTGGTAACAAAGACAATGGACAACTTAATTTGAGTAGTAGTTTTTTTTGTCTTGGGTATCTGCTTTCACAAAAAAGTAACATTGGAAAAAAGAAAAATAGATTAACATTTTATATATACTCTCATTATGAGTCAAAAAAATGCAAACCAAATGAGAACAAATCAAATTTTTGTCTACTTCATTTTGCCTGTCAGTAACATGAATACAGAAAATGTTAAGATAATTATGTTTACAAAATGGTGTTAATAACTTCAATTCTCTGCTAGCTCAAGGCAGACTTCACACTTCATCAAAGCCACCCCTAAGCAATCTTGGAATGCCTGGTTTAATGCTGTGTCACCCTCAATAAATCCTGTAAGATGAAGGTTGGCATTGTATTCATTATTGCAATTTGACGTGAATCAGTGTCCCAATTTAATGATTAGTGAAATCAGCAATGTAAAACTATTTCCCTCCAGATTTTCTACTACATTGCTAATGAACAAGTTTTAATGTATAAAGACAGGATTTGTGTAATTCCTCCTCCCCCAAATCACTTCCTACAGTCTGCTTTGTGCGCAGGTTCTGTTTAGCTCTGCTTGTCCATGAACAATGTAAGTAAACTGACTCAATTCTCCCACTCTCCCCATTCAATTTAAATTAATAAGCTACCAAAGTGCCAAATATTATGCACCAACTCAGACGTGGAAACAGAAATGTAAAGCCAACATTGAAATTGTATGGCCATCAAATGATTCAGAATGTGCTCATAATTATTCTGATGCAATTATTCACTTGAAAATTACTGAGTCAATATCTCTCTCTGTCTCTCACTCCCTCTTTTTTAAATATATATTCTTAATTGTAGATGAACACAATACCTTTATTTTATTTGTTTATTTCAATGTGGTGCCAGGGGTTGAACCCAGTGCCTCACTCATGCTAGGCAAGCACTCTACCACTGAGCCATAACCCAAGCCCCACTCCCTCCTTAACACTAAAATTTGTAGACTCCCCCCAAGGTCCAGACAGTCAATAGAGAAGGAAATTCAGGATTTTTCAGAAGCTTATTGATGAAAGCAGTGAGGATGATAAGATCATACTGTTAGCTTGCTTGTTCAACTCTAATTTAGAACTGATGGGCTTTGTAATTAAGAGCAACAATTTAGGGGCTGGGGATGTGGCTCAAGCGGCAGTTAAGCTCACCTGGCATGTGTGCAGCCCAGGTAAAACTAAAAAATAAATATTAAAAAATTCTCCCTAAAAAAAAAAAAGCAACAATTTAGCTCCTCTTGTTTTTGCCCTTGTAGTTCCCCACTTTAGTTTCTCTTTCTCTTACTTCCCCCATCATACAATGCTATTTTGAACATTGGATAAAGAATTCAACTTTAAATCAGCAATTCTACTACCAGAAATCTAACTCGAATTAAGTATTTGGTCCTCCAGAATACAAAGATATGTACCTGAATGCTTAAAGCTGCACAATAATATTGTAAATACCCCAAGTGTTTTTTATTTGGTGATTTGTTGAATCAATTACTGAATAAATGTCAGCTATTCTTTTACATTCCACTGATAACTACTAAAAATGGCAAACAGCCCCGGAGGGTGGGGGGGGACAGTCAATGTTTATGAGCAATTTTAAGAAAAAACTACAATGGCCAATGGATATTTTAAAAACATCTCAATTTTAGTCATAATAAATAAAAAGCAAACCAAGATACAAGTCCTAAATTATTTGATTGGCAACAACAAAAAAGTCTGATAATCGGTGCTTGAGAACTGGAAAACAGGCACTCTCAATCACTTTTCTTGGAATGTTATTTGGTGCAAACTTTCTAGTAATTTCTATTCACATGTAAAACCACTGTGTCTGGAGTGAGCCTGAAACAAGAATCCTTTAATCCAGAACTCAGTATATAAAATTTCTCTGTGGATATTGAAAATAAAGCGAGTAACCAGGAGAGGGGCGAGCGAGAAATGAAAGACACCAGGCAGAGATACACACACACACACACACACACACACACACACACACACACACACGAGAGTTTATTTGTCAGAGCTGACAAATAAAGGCACATGTATCCATAGATGGAAAGAGGCAAAACAGGCTTGGGGTGAAGGACTTTTATGGGGCAGGCTCAGAGATTAGAGCCAGGTGGGTCCTAACACAAAAGGGAGTGGTGAGCCTTTCTCAGAAAGGCCCTTGGGTGGGAAAGCAAGACTTTTTCTTAAAATGGTGGCTGTCACTTAAGATGGTCATCCAGCAAGGACCTTACAGATATACTGACAAGACTTGTTTAAGTAAAAAATGTTCTCCTAACATTAGAGAAATAAATAAGCAAAATCCTAGAAACAACCAAAATATTTATCATAGTGAACTGGTTAAATAAATTGTGGCATACACTAACCAATGGCTTTTTTTATGCAGCCATTAAAAAGAGAAAGAACCTGATCTAAACATTATATAACATATACATGTATTAAAATATTACATGGTACCCCATTAATATGTACAACTTTTATGTTCTTATGTAACCGTTAAAATAAATTAAAAATAAGATAAATGTGCAAAGGCTGTTTTGCATTGCAGTTAGGAAATAATCCCAAAGATACATCAAGTGAAAAAAAAAAAAGTAAATGCTTGCATAGACTGTGATCTTTCCTTTTTGTCAAAAACAAACAAAAGTAGAAAGAAATAAGATTATACATTAATTTTATACATTTTGAAGGACTCACAAAAAACTAATAAAGTTATTTAATCATAAGGAGAAAAATTAGAAAAGGGAGAGTGGCATTCAACTTTCACTTTTCGTTTTGTAACTTTTTAAAGCAAGAATTTTCTAATTTTGGGCTGGGATTATGGCTCAGCAGTAGAACGCTCATTTAACACGTGTGAGGCCCTGGGTTCGATCCTTACCATCACATAAAAATAAATAAATAAAATAAATACTTCTAAAAACTAACTAAATAAATAAATAAAATACTTCTAAAAAATTTTTTAAAAGTTTTAAAACAAGAATTTTCTAATTTCATAGATGTGTGTTTCTTAACTTTACAAACTGTTCAATTTGGGATGTCAGGGAAGGAAGAATGTACTATACTTTTGTGTTTGCTTCTCTGTGCTATTCTCTACAATATGAAGAGCAAATGCCAGGTTATTTTTAAAATTTCATATGAACCAATAAAATGGATAATGTAGTTAATATAGATCCATATTCACTAACACAGTAAACCATAAGGACATATTAATTTAAGAAATCCAAGCAACACAATATGCATACTATGATCTAATTTATGTAAAATTGTGTTTGCATATATGGAGATATGTGGAAAGAAACAATTAAATTTGATGGGATTACATATTCTGCTTTGTAACCATTCTGATTGCTTCAATTTTCCTCAAATGAGAATGTATCATCTTTGAACATAAGGTATAAAACAAAAACTTTTCAAAGACTTTGACACCTACTTGATTTCTCAGCAAATTAAAATCTGTGATATAAGCAGGGGGAAAGGATAAGAAAATTATTTAAATAAAGTTATCTTAACTGAGAGGTTGCCTGGTAAACCAATCCAGTAGAAAAGTCAGGGGTATCCTTAAACTGGGAGATTATACACCTGGAATTCAGCATGAGGGACAGAGTGTTCCCTAGGGCAGGGGAGAAACCTGAGCTCTCCACCTTCAGCATAAACAAAAGTGGGTCTGCAGGCACTGACCCTGCCATGTACTGAAAAAAAGAAAAATAAAAGAAAAAAATAACCTTTTAAGAATCTATAACCACTAAAAAAAAATCTCTATTAATAAGGTTGGAAGCTTGTTGCTTATAACATTTTTATTGCAAATGAGGGTTTCAAATACTTAAATACTAAAACAGATATGTTCTTGGATAAAGCTTGAAATGTGTGCCATTTTAATAAGTGCATATGAATTCAGTAAATACACAGAAAAGGTTCTGGAGGAATAAACACAGAAGCACTGAAGAGGAAGAACTGGCCATTAGGATTGGGGAG